GTTCCCATTCCTGCCCTTAGCCAAACATGATTCCAATTTCCTTACTCCCATTCCCTGTTCCCATTTCCCTCTTTAGCAAAACATGATTCCAATTTCCTTGTTCCCATTTCCCCCTTTAGCAAAACATGATTCCAATTTCCATCCTGCTCTCTCCTGCAAGTCCCCACCACAGACAACCTCGCTAGTGTCCATGCAGGAAAGGGGCATAGAGCTCTTGGACCACGGGCATTCCATGCCACTCAGCCCCTCTCCAACACTGAAAAGATGGCCCAGAATCTGGACTCATGACTTAAAAATCAAAGTAAGGCCTTTAACACAGAAGTGTGGTTACTCTACTCAATATAAAAAGAAAAGGAGGATTTGTGGCACCTTAGAGACTAACAAATTTATTTGAGCATAAACTTTTGTGAGCTACAGCTCACGTCATCGGATGCATTCAGTGGAAAATACAGTGGGGAGATTTATATACATAGAGAACATGAAACAATGGCTGTTACCATACACACTGTAATGGGAGTGATCAGGTAAGGTGAGCTATTACCAGCAGGAGAGCCGGGGGAGAGTGGGGGAAACCTTTTGTAGTGATAATCAAGGTGGGCCACTTCCAGCAGTTGACAAGAACATGTGAGGAACAGCAGGGGCAGGGGGGAGGATAAACATGGGGAAATAGTTTTACTTTGTGTAATGACCCATCCACTCCCAGTCTTTATTCAAGCCTAAGTTAATTGTAGCCAGTTTGCAAATTAATTCCAATTCAGCAGTCTCTCGTTGGAGTCTGTTTTTGAAGTTTTTTTTGTTGAAGAATTGCAACTTTTAGGTCTGTAATCAAGTGACCAAAGAGATTGAAGTGTTCTCCGACTGGTTTTTGAATGTTATAATTCTTGATGTCTGATTTGTGTCCATTTATTCTTTTACGTAGAGACTGTCCAGTTTGGCCAATGTACATGGCAAAGGGGCATTGCTGACACATGATGGCATATATCACATTGGTAGATGTGTTTATTAATATGTTTATCTATTTCTCATTTGCATTATTGTCCTGATCCCACAACCCTACTACAGGAGTCAGAGAGGCCTCATTGATTACAGTATCAGAGGATGATGCTGTAGAGAGGTTTTCGGCCGAGTAATGCTCTCCTTAATCCCAGAAAACAACCCTGACTCCTCGAATAATCAAAGCGATGAAGCACCAGTTCACTATAATTTAATGTGTGGGCATAATTAAACCATTGTAATACATTCATGTATCAGTAACTGAGTCATGAACCTGCACTCTTCTCTGGAAAGATTAAAATCATTACAACCGAGAGATGTACCCAAAGCAGCCATCTGAACATAACAGGCCTGCTTTAACAAGCCATTCCTTCACCAAGTGTTTAAACTGTAGTGCCTGATGTTCCATTCCAAAGTGGAAGGAACAGCCTGAATCTCATATCATTGCATAGTTCTAACACATGGTTACAGGGAAGGGGCATGTGCAGACTATATGATACTGTCCCCAGAATTCTGCTGGTGGGAAAGCTCATCTAGTGATGTTACCCATTTCTGCAATGTGCTGAGTGCCCCCAAACCCCACTGACTGCAATGGGATTTGAGGGCACAGAACCCCACGTTTGGAACACCCAGGCATGGAAGGAACAATAGATCTGAGTACTAGTGAAGGGACTCAGCCCTCTGAGGTGCAGAAAATCCATGCCCTGTAGTTTGCTCTGTGTGGGGATCGTTTTGATAAGACATTTAAAAATCCAAGAGCTGTCTGTTCTGCACAGTCATTAATGATCCCAGGTCACTTGTTCATAAGAGCAGAGGCTTGCTCCAGTAACTTTGCCCAAATTTCCCCACCATTGACTCTTTCAGAATTAAGAGCAATGTGGGGGCTGCTCTGATCTCCACCAGGGGGTAAGTGATCCCAAAGAACCATCCAACAGCTGCGGCTCTGGCCACACCAATAACTCTCTCCCTACACCACAGGGGGTTGCTTAGGATCCAGCTACATTACCTGGGGTATCCCTGGCTGGAGGGACAGGTCCAGTCTCTGATCCCTTTGCACTGCCAGAGTGGCACAAAGGGAGTAGAGCAGGGCAGAGAATCTGGCCCATGAAATATAATAGGCATCCACTGTATAAGTGGTTTGCAGGTATTTTCTTTCTATACCTGCCTCTCTCTCCTCGGATGTCAACATTGGCCAAGGAGGATTTCAATTGCTCTTACACTTGACAGCGATAGCATTCATAATAAATGATGGCTCAACCATGCTCATTAATATCCTCTGCTTTGAATGTTTTTAATTAACTTTTACATTTACAATGTTACTGTTTCCTCCAGCAGGCAACTATTTGGGCAAAGATTTTGTTTTGTTTATTGATCATAAATATTTACTTTGATTATTTGAATATGTATTTTAAAACACTGGATGGCTCAGGAGAGAAACATAGATCCATGCACCTCTAGAGTGTTAGTCACTATATAACCGGGGCTAGATTTGAACTAAGACTTGTTTCTGATGCTTGCTTAGTGGCTGAAGAAGCAGTTGTGAATAATAATGCTATATAGAACTTTTTACCACCAGTTCAGTAAACCACTAAATCTCTCTCTCTCATATTACTATATGTTTCTTAGGCATTTCTGCAGGGCCTGTAGATGTAATTTCTGATCGTTGATTATCACAAGACTGTATTCTAGTGCTAATTTATAGCTATTAGCTGAGATGCTTTGTGTACAGTGGTTCCCATTAAAATTCCAATAAATTCTCTTGCAAGTAGTTACTGTTACCATGGTATTTGCATTATTACCTAGGTATTCTCAATACTACAAATATGGAACACTGAATACTGCAATTATGTAATGTACATGCAAAGGCAAGGTTATAAAGATTTTAATGGCAGCCACCATAGTTTGATTTGAGTGTTACTATAGTAACAAAATAGTTTCTGGTTTTAAATTAATAAACTTTATTGCTTTAATAGCTGCATATAGTAGTATCTGTGATTTTCCTATAATTGATAAAAATAGCTATGCTCTTATTTGCAGTTTATTTCAAATACTGCATATTATGTTGTTTATAAATAAACCAGAGGGGGAAAAAGAGACTTTACTAATACAGAACTTTTCATTTTTTAAATATGTTGGTAACATGTATTTAAAAGATATATTATTGCTATTTTAATAACATAGGGCCTAACTATGCATCCATTACTCACACTGAAGATCATTATTCATGTGAGTAATTCATATGAGTAAGGCTGATACTACTACTGGTCCCATAAACACTAAAGACAATTTAATAACATGGTAACAATCCCATTGTTTTGAAGCTAGGCACCTAAATAACTTTGAGGATCTGGCTATGGAACTTCATACATAGAAATGAGCCATGAAGTTTGAATTTGGACCCAAGTCTCCACAAAGGAGGAGGAGCTTTGGATTCATCTTAGAGAGATGAACTTAAGCTGAGAAGTTTGGATCCAAATCTGACCAGCCTCAAAGTTTGAATGGGGTCAGAGTCCATGTTCTAGGATCAGGCCGATCTGCAGACATGCCTAATTTTTCTAAGTGCGGCACTCAGAAAATGACTGGGCTTCACATATCCTGAATTCAGCTCTCAGGCTTCCTGTGCAATGAACGGAAGGAGACAAGTACCTAAGTCTGGGTTTCACAAAAGCCAGCACACTGTGGGAGGTAGCTGCCTAAGCTAGCCCATGGAAGATGCCAAGAAGAGGGGGCATGTCCTAAGCCTCACTGCTATCAGGGAGTTTGGTGCCTAAGACTGGGCTGGAGGGACACACCTTCCTCTGCTTGGGAGTCTCAGCTGTGAAACCTCTCCTGGAGTCAGGAGGTACCTAAGGAATTTCTTGCAAGGTGGCAGTAGACCTCCCTCCAAACTTTTAGCCCAGTGGTTAGAAAAGCACTTGGGATGTGGGAACCTCCTTCAAGTCCCCGCTCTGCCTGGCAGGGAGAAGGGATTTGCCACCTCTCAGGTGAGAGCCCTAACTGCTGGGCTATGCGATATTCTGATGTGAGGCTCCCCCAGGCTCTGTTCCATTTTGGATAAGAGTCATTGGTGCAAGGGGACTGGATCCTGGGTGAGTGCTCTGACCACCAGGCTATGGAGTCGTTTTCATGGTGGCACAGCTTCAATGGGAGAGGCTGATGGAGCCCCCACATCGGACTATCCCATAACGCAGGAGTTATAGCAGTCCTCTGAGAGATGGGAGAGCCCGGTTCAATTCCCGGGTGCATGCCTCCTGCTGCTCCTCCTCTTTCCCCATCCCCAGCCATTTTGGTGAGCTCAGATGAGGGGACCAATGCAGTAAGCATGACCAGAGCGTACCTCCTGCCTTGGGCCCCGCAGGGGAGTTAGTGGAGGAAGAGCTCTCTTCCCCTGGTTTGTGAGTCTCACTGGGGCTTAGGCATCCAGACACCAAAAGGGTGTAGCAATGCACATGCTGCAAAAACTTAGGTGCGAAGTGAATTTAGGCATCTCCAGGGTTCAGCGGCAGCTGAGGAGTGGTTTTGTGAATACCAGTGTCTGGTTCTAGGATTCAGGCACCTAAAGTGGCAGTTAGGCACCTAAGTCCCTTTGTGAATCTAGACCATAGCATTTGATTGGAGGGGCATAGGTACAATGGTACATTTAGACTACAGCAGGCTTTACTGGTAGTTTTCATGTAATTTTTCCCATTAGAATTTCAGTGGCTGGTGGCTGTTGCAGCATAAGGCCTATCAGCATGAAGACATGCACTGGGAACTAGTGAAATGAGCCGTGTAGGAATCTGCTCACCTAAACAAATAGTAACATGTCAATCAAAGTAAAATGAGGGCATTTGAGTGAACAGAAAGAAAATAGCTCAGACAGGCACCATGCCATACCATCGACTTCAGTGGGGCTGCCCAGTGTTACTGAGGATGGAATTTAGGCCTGTGCCTTCAAGTAAAACCGTACTGTGGAACTGAAACGCATGTGCAATGAGAGGCTGGCAGCAGCAAGGGAGTATACATACCACAATTACAAACAATGCTGGGGCTGCAAAAGCCCAGATTGCACCGTTCTTCAGTGAAAGCCAGCAACTGCAGGGAGAAGGCAGAATGGTTACTATCTACTCACTGGTGGAAGATCAAACATGAGGTCATTGAATTAGCCATGCACTTAATGAGAAAGAGAAGAAAGTATGGTACAGAATGGCTGAGAAATTCTAAAACAGGAAACATGGATGGAGCTAATTGCATCTTCTTGCTTCCCCCCACTCCTCCTACTCAAGGAGTCTCCGGCAGGATCTCTCTTGGATTTGTATATTGCATAGGGAAGTCTGCCTGTAATTATCTGCTGTAGTGTGCTTCAAGATGGTGTGAAGGAGACGGAGAATACCTAAGCTGTCCTTTCTGGCAACTGCACCGTGTAATATGGTGTTTATCAGAAGAGAGGATTCCCGTTGTCTTTGCAGCAAGAACAAAATTGAAGACTTCCTCTCTTGTTCTTCAGGCTGCTGGGGGATGAGGAAGGGATTGGGAAAGGGGATGACAACTTTCAGCTTAGTTCTTACATCATCAGTTTGGAATGGACAAAAACAGAACAAAGGAGTAATCCATTCATTTAACAAAAACCTGTATCATCCTGTAATGACTTAAACACATGAATTACCTTACCCATCAAAAAAACCGAGGAGTACTTGTGGCACCTTAGAGAATAACAAATTTATTTGGGCATAAATAGTCCAAATAGTTAGTCTCTAAGGTGCCACAAACAAGTACTCCTCGTTTTGTTTGTTTGTTTTTTTGCTGCTACAGACTAACACGGCTACCGCTCTGAAACTTTACCCATCGAAAGGATCAGGCCCTATGGTATTCTCTCAGGTCAGTTTGCTTTTTCTGCTTACAATGCCCCATACTCCATGTTCAGAATTTTAATCCCCAAACCATCTCTAAATCTGTTTTACTAATTTGTTTAATCAGTCAATCATCTTTTCTCTTACTACAGACATTCCCAGCCTCTACATTATTGGATCCTTCTGACAAAGCACAGCCAGAGGGGTTCTCAGAGCATGTATAACACTGATGGATGGAAACATTTGTGTCCACATAGAGAAAGTCATACTGCCTAGGGACTGCTGGGTGTGTAATATCGGGCCCTTGGGTAGGTTGTCAGCCATGGGGATTGAACCTGTAATCTTTTATTCTAAACCCATGAGCCTCAACTGCCTGAGATAAAAGGCCCACCTCTGTTAGCCAAGGCTGTACCTGGCTAATCAAGCTCTATCTGTGGCTCAGCCAGCAGTAGAGGGGGCAGAGTGCTATGCTGAGCGGGTGTGATTTAGAAGTGGAGAGGGTTCAGAAGCAGCATTTACTACACCTTTTAAAAGATGCATCATTATCTCCAGCAATGGCCCCAATACTTCCTCACTGAATTAGATCCATATCTTTCCCTAAAAGCCAGAGGTAGTAACCCTCCCCCCAAGCCCTGTAATTCCTGGAGGTAGATTGCTCTTCCTTCTCAAAATCCTGCTCCCCAATAAGATATATTTATAGAGAGCTTTTATGTCCTCCAGGGCGTCTTCAGTCCTCCAATCCTGCCTCACTACTCCTCCTGTCCCTGCACATTAGATCGAAACAAAGAGCGACCTCCCAGCTGACTTGACAACAAGTATTTTGAGAGACAGGGTGGGTGAGGTTGTATATTTTATTGGACCAACTTCTGCTGGTCAGAGAGACAAGTTTGGGAGCTTACACAGGGCTCCTCTTCAGGTCTGGGAAGGGTACCCCCAATGTCACACCAAAATGCAAGATGGACCAGACTGTTTAACATAAGTAGTTAGCACATATTGTAAGGGACTATTCAAGCTAGAGTGGCCCATTAACACCTCTGCAGTCATAGGCTACAACTACATTGCTTACACCAAGTATTTTGGTTAGTTTTGTTGCTCTCTGATCAGTGTGTTTAGTCAAAACTGGAGTTCAGATGTAACATACATGTTAAAAACAATAAAGATTACCTAGCATGAACATCCACCATCACTATTGCCGGAGGCCGTATCTCTTTATGGAACAGGACTCTATAATGTTGAGCAATCTCATAGAGAACTATTTGTGGGTGGCTGTTTCCTAACACATTTTAAATGGGGAAAAGTACATCAACAATAAAGACTAAGAGCAGGAGAGCTGGTTAGCTGTTTCAGTCCAAACAAAGAATCCTTGAGCAATTCAGTTTTATTAGTAAAATAAATATGCTCAAAACAAAAGTGAACATATATAAATACCCTTACATACGCATGTGTATTTATTACTATTATTGGTTGTATTACAGTAGTGCCCAAAGAGATGGATCCAAACCGGAACTCTAGATCTAAGAATCTCTTCCACCACCTCATCCCCAAACTCTGAGGAAGTTCACACTCAGCTCTGATTATGGATCTGAACTTTCAAAGTTGAGCCCATCCCTGGCAGATGTGCAAATAGCCTCAATATATAGACCTAATGTGCAATGCATAAGCGATAAATAGTGCTCGACACCCTCAATTCCCACTGAAGTCAATAGGAGTTGTTGGAGCCCAGAATCAGGCCCTGTGGGAAGATATTTAGCATTAGTCCTGCCCTCCCCTGATATCTTACTTGTTTTCATATTTTAAACAGAGGTAGATCTTTCTGTACTCACTTCTCATGTTCTCCATAATAGTCCATGGCTGAAGCTGCAGAGATGATGCAGATTACCAGTGGGCACCCTGCAAAATTCAGAGATGGCGACAGTGTCAAACCTGCACCTGATGCTTCCCTTCAGAAAACCAGGTAAATTCAATCAATGTGCCCAAAAGAAATCTTCACAGGCAGCGAACAGCTCACGGGTTTCAGAGTTACATGTGCCGTAGAGCCCTTTGTGCAGCTAAATTACACAGACAAGGTAGGTGAGGTAATATCTTTTATTGGACCAACTTCTGTTGGCGAGACAGAGAAGCTTTCGAGCGTACACAGAGCTCTTCTTCAGGCTTATCTACTTCAGTCATACATGCCGAGTCAATGATCCTAATCCAAGCATCCAAAAATAGTCCTAGAAAACAGAGTCAAATCTCCCAGGAGGGTTAGCACTGAGATAGCCTACAAATGTCAACACCCAGTTACTCTTTTGAGCATCACAAATGGATAGGGAGAGAGAGAGTCTTGAATAAATTGAACCAAGTTAAGATCCCATTCAGATGCCCTCAGAGGGTATGTTTCCTAATATGAAGGTATGAGAGATTTCTAGCGGGAGATGTATTTGCTTAAAGTAAATAAATTACATTTCGTATAATTTCTGCCAGGAGGGAGGGAACGCTTGACAACGTTACGTAAGTATTATACAGATTCAAGCTACTGTGCTTCTGCCTTCAATGGTAACTGCGTGCAGCTGGCCCAGAGCATAATGACGTCTTGTTGTGTCACTTTAATAGTTTTCCAAGAGAGTAGTTAGAAAGGAAGCAAGGTTTCTGCTACCAACGGTTTTGAACAGGGTAAAGCAGGAACTCTTTACCTAGCAAAGGATTGTCTGTCAGGCCCCTATAAATGTCCCATGTAGCGAATAGAAAACAATGTGGAAATAGGATGGCTTTTTAAATCATTTTATAGATTTAATAACTATACTCCTGCTAAAGAATAAGATGTACAAGAAGTTTTTTAAAAAAATACCATGGAAGGGAGATAATTCAGTAATAAAACCTATGGAGTTTTGCAGTAATTTCTACAAAACCTTTTAAAATTAATTTCCATAGAACCTTATTGGTTTCATCCCAATTAAATTCCATAGGATGTTTCCAGAAGGGGAAACCTGCAGTTTTAGGCAGAGGTGTTTCAATTCTTAAGTGATCATTGCCAGGAACAATACATATTTATCAATGACAAAAATATTCAACAGCCAGCAAGTAAACGTGCTTGCTTCAGTGTTATACCAGAATAACTTCAGGGTGGAGTTACTCCTGAATTACATCAGTGCAAATGAGAGCAGAATCAGGCCCACGGTCTCCTAAGTGCCGCACTACAAAGTGAATTCTAAAGTCTAAAATACTGTCGTAGACAGTCGTATTTTTAAACAATGGAAAACCCTGTTCACTAACATGTGATACCCAGAATAATCAATTGTACATGACCCTGATTCATCACATTTGAGTGCTTGGCTGAAACGAGGCCCATAACGTCTTACCTAAGCCATACTCTTGACAACCCCTGAAAGACAAAAGCCCAGGTTTTTACTGTTTCAAATACAACTGACTAAGGGCACGTCTACACTGCACAGTTAAGCTGGCCATTTACCCAGATTTTAGTCCTAAGGCCCTCCCCTCTCCCCCCCACCCAAAGAAAAATCACTGACCTGGGGTTGGAAGTGCCTGAAGACCAGGCTAGCTGACCCAGCTCGGGGACTCAGGAAGGATCTGGGGTCCACCTTAACTTGGGCTGAAACCCATCCACTTTGTAGTGGGGGCGTGTGGTGAATCAGTAGAGTGCTGATGGTCTTCCAATGCCCTTTCCACATTTCCCCCAGAAGAAAAGGACAAATTCTCCCACAATTGACACAGCTGACCACAAAAGGAACCATAGAGCATCTCAACACAGAGAACCATGGGATATGCTCACAGACACACACAGGCAAGTGTAGAAACATTGAGAACCCAGTAATGGGTATGGCTTTGTAGTGTGACTGCTCACGGCTAGGCTAGGCACGGTACTCAAACTCAATAAACCCAATTAACTGAATGTATACACAGCCTAAAGGGGCAGAGAGAGTCTTTCTTTTGTGTGTTGGTACAGCACTTTGCACAATGAGGTCCTGGTCCAGGAATGGAACTCCTAGGTGCTACGGTAATATAAATAACAATAAGAAGTTGCTTGGCAGTGGCTAATAATCTTGTGGTATGAGTTGTCTTCCCAGGGCTAACAGCCTTCACATGTAGATAATCTGTCTCGTACACAAAAAGTACTTGTGCTTACTATCCCTCAGGATGCTAGCCTGTGGCAAATTTCAGACAGTCACAGGATTTAACTTGATTATTTATCCATTTTAATCTGCAACGAAGAAGAAAATTAAATACCGAGTTCTCTAGCAAGATAATAAAACGTACACAGATGAAGCGTAGTGCAGTCATCTGGATAACAAGAACAGTTAATTCAATGAATGTAAAATGGTCTACAGCCTACAGTGCAGTATTTGTCTTCACTCTGCAGTAACAGACTATTAAAAGATAGATGGGGGTGGAGGTTAGCATCTAAAATAAATTAGGATTTTGTTACAATGAAAGAAACATACTGTTCTCTGAAGAACCAACCATCTGAGATATTCTGTAAAGGTAGGAATCAAACATATTTAGCCTGAGGAGGTCACAAGATTTGATCTGGCCCGGAACACTTCTGTGGATAATATAGTACACGAAGATATTAAGGGTATTTGCTCAATCCTGGGCTTGTGAGGAAAACCTGCAGATGAGGCGTTAGAGTCAGACAACATCTCATACCTGTTAATTCTAGGAACACAACAGCAAAAGTGCTAATGCAATGCTAGTACTACTGTTTATCATCCATGTAAAAATGCCGGTTGCGCTTCCTTTATACTGTATTTGACTGTTTCCTTGGTTGCGATGCTCTAAACACGCTCACCAGCCTTACCCCCACCCTTCAAACGTACGACATGACACGATATGCTTTACGTTAGGAAGGGCAGCATCAGACACAGGGTATTGTACCTACACAAGTCTGTCATCTAAGCCGTGGCATTTGCAACAGGCACTCCTCTGTAGTATCACTGCATGCTATGCAGCACTGCATATTAATAAGTGAGTATGAACCACACTGCAACATGGCCTCAAATTCTGGACTTCTGGGGAATAAGCCAGGATGGGTCAGCCTCAGGACATTTGGTTCAGTTCAGATAAGCACCCAGATGTCACCCAAAGTGTATCTGAACTTCTTGGGCTGAAAATCTATTAATATTAATATGCAAACTAGATACCATTAACTTAGGTTTGAATAGAGACTGGGAATGGCTCAGTCATTACACTAATTGAATCTATTTCCCCATATTAAGTATCCTCACACCTTCGTGTCAACTGTCGGGAATGGGCCATCTTGATTATCACTTGAAAAGTTTTTTTTTCCCTGCTGATAATAGCTCCTCTTAATTAATTAGCCTCTTACAATTGGTATGGGTACTTCCACCTTTTCATGTTCTCTGTATGTTTAAATATCTTCTTACTATATGTTTCATTCTATGCATCCGATGAAGCGGGCTGTAGCCCACGAAAGCTTATGCTCAAATAAATTTGTTAGTCTCTAAGGTGCCACAAGTACTCCTGTTCTTATTTCTCCTATGTGCCTAGCTGAGGTGATGGCAATTAGAAATGCTGTCTTCATGGACAGGTGTGAGAGAGAGCAAGTTGCTATGGACTCAAAGGAAGGTCTAGTCAAAGCCCTGAGAACTAGGTTAAGGCCCTAGGTGTGAGCAGGTGATGTCTCATGTGGGAAGAGATTCCCAATGCCCTTAAGGAATCTACGCATCAGTGGGTAAGCAAACACCGAGTATCTGTCTACTACGAGATGTACCTTAAGAGAGCTGAGTGAGAGTTTTGACCTCTTGAGGTCTAAAATGTAGTGCAAAATCAGAGATAGGGAAGACGAGGTTGGGTCTATGTTTTTAGAATGACAACAAACTTGGAATCGTTTCCATTTTGTAGGTAGGTATGTTGAGTAGTCAGCTTTTGGCTGTGTTGCAACATGTCTTTCAGCTCCTCAGAGCATTGTGCCGCTAAGCCTTGGAACTAAGAAGGAGCCATGCCTGGAGACGGAAGACCCACAGGTTGGGGTGAAGGATCAGCCCATTGTTTTGAGAGAGCAGGTAAGGAATGGGCCAAAGAGGAACAGGAGGGCATGTTGCCATCTATGTCAGGTAAGGGAGCCAGACTTGTCATGGCCAGGAGGGGCAATCAGAATAACTCTCCCTTTGTCTTGTTGAATTTTCAACAGGACCTTCAATAAAAGAGGAAACTGGGAAAAGGCATACAAGAGGGTCCCGTCCCATGGGAGGATGAGGGCATCTCCCAGTGACTGTTTCCCCAGGCCAGCCCTGAAGCAGTAACGAGGACATTTCTTGTTCTGGTAAGTAGCAAAGAGATCGGTAGTCAGGGTTCCCCAAAGGGCGAATATATCTTGAAGGACCTCTGAGTTCAATACCCACTCATGGTCATGACAAAAATTCCAACCGAGACTGTCGGCTGTCACATTCTGTATGCCTAGTAGATAGCAAGCTGAGATGAGAACATTGTGGTGGATGCACCAATTCCAAAGTTTGAGTGCTTCCTTGCAGCAGGAGGGAGATCTGGCACCCCCTTGTCAATTTATGTAAAACATACAGGTCATATTACGACTGTCATGACTTTTATGTGGGTGTTCTTGATGAAAGGCAGAAAGTGTGCACACGCATTCCTGACAGCCCTTAGCTCCAAAAGAGTGCTATGGAAGGTCACTTCTTTGGAAGGCCATTTGCCCTGAACCTTGTGATTGTGTAGGTGAACTCCCCAGCCTATTAGGGAGGCATCCATCCCAGGGTGGTGAGTCTGCATAGCAGGAGGAATGTCTCGCTTGTACTGCATCAAGGTTGGTGCTGATAAATTCCAGTTACTGTACTGGGGTTAGTGCACCGCTACAATGAAGAGAACCTTGGAGAATATCCTGGGTGGAGCAGTCTGTACTGATAATGGTCCTGCCC